GCCCTGTTGCAAGAGTTGGACCATCTCAAGATTCCAACGACTTTTGCTCAACTCACCGCTATCTCACCAATCTATACGGAACAAATAATTGCAAAGCTTCAGAATCGACTCCCAGGAAAAAGCAGCGCAACCTATATCACCACAGAGGCCACCAAAGTTTCAGCAGCTATGACCACTCCAGAAATAGAAGACCCCTCGGACCCTTGCTACTACAGCTGCGCCCTAGGATACGTAACAGCCAAAGTTGGGGGAGCTAGCGTGGAATTTATGGTAGATTCAGGATCCATGGTAAACGTTATGCCTCGATCAGTAGCAGAAGACCTGGATTTGGAACTAGTACAAGTAGATATACCAATGAAAGGAGTTGGGGGAGCAAGATGTGACTTAAATGGAGTAGCTGAAAATTGCCCAATTGGAATTGGAAGATTCTCCGGACCAGCACATCTGTTTGTTTCACCCAAGGCTCAGGACTGTATTTTGGGACGACCATTCTTATTCGACTACGGATGCACTCTAGAATATCACGAGAACGGTGAAACTCTGTCTTTCCAAGGAACAAAGGGACGAAGAGTATCAGTACCTTTAGCAAGAACCGGCCAAGGAAGAGGCTGGAACAACAGGAAAGATCTCAGTACCAACAGCACAAAGCTACAGGACAACAATATACCGCCAAACGACGAGGATCGAATGTTCAAAAAGGGTATCATGCAGCCTTTTTTATGAATTCCGGCGTCCAATTGAGGAATAACTCACTTAAGCTAGTCAAGAGAGTTGAATTCTGGGCGCCGGTGTTCTTTGACTGGCTATTATTTTTTCTTTTTATTATCTTACAAGAAACTACAAAACTAACAAAAACATTTTTTAAGCTGATGCAATTTTTTTCACAGGTAATTTTCACTGAACTCTCAGACTCAATTTTAAGATTATGTAAAACAGGTAAAAAGGAACACGAAAACGAGAAAAAACGGGAAGAAGAACTCATCTGCTCACAATACGGAGGAGCAGTAATACGATCCAATCTGGCCAAACAAATAACAAACGAATCGGTTACGCAAACAGGACAGACCAAGAATATCCACGACCTGTTGGGAATAGGACTTGGCTGGACGTTCCAGAAGCACTTATGTCAGAATTGGAAGGAAGGGAACTTGTGGTGCATGACAAAGTACAAACCAGTTGGGAAGAAAGTTCGACCAATTAATCAACCACTTCCACAACTACTAAATCCACCACTAAAGCGACCACCTCTGTCTCGAGATCCGTATAAAACTCCGCTTACACCACATCCACCGGAATTTGCACCTACAAATAAAATCACTGAAGCACGGTTAAAGGTTGTTAATTTTGGACCGGAAGGATGGCTCTGGAAAGAAGAACTCAAGCTATTCAAACATCTGATTGTTTTACGCGAAAAGGCCTTAGCATTCTGCATGGAAGAGCGTGGATTACTGAAGCATTCCTATGGATTACCCTATGTCATACCAGTAGTGGATCACATACCTTGGCAGAAGAAACCTATTCCCATACCAGCAGCAATAAAAAACGAGTACGTGGAACTAGTTCGGGAACGGATTCGGACAGGTCTTTACGAACAATCAACATCAAGTTACTCAAGCCCAGTATTCTGCGTAGCAAAACACGATGGAAAGCTACGAATTGTTCATGACTTACAAGAAATGAATAAAGTTACCATTAAAGACGCAGGCCTCCCTCCAGCAACTGAAGAATTTGTAGAGGCGTTTGCTGGACGTGCTTGCTATGGATTAGGCGATATCATGGGAGGATACGACGAACGAGAGTTAGCAAAAGAATCCCGACCTCTGACCACCTTTGATACCCCTCTTGGAAGGTTTCAACTCCCACGTTTACCTCAGGGGGCCACTAATTCGGTAGCAGTATATCAGGCGCAAATGATGTGGATACTCCAGGATGAAATACCTGACAACGTAGGGGTATTCATTGACGATGGAGGAATAAAAGGACCAAGCTCAGATTACGATAACGAAAGCTTGGACGAAAACCCAGGAATTCGGCGGTTCATCTGGGAATATGCTCAGACACTAGAACGGGTATTATTCAGGATTGAAGAAGCTGGACTCACTATCTCCGGGAAAAAGTTTGCCTGCTGTGTCCCAGCTCTGGACATTGTAGGTCACGTGGTCTGTAAAGAAGGACGGCGGGTTTCAGTTCAGAAAAAGAACAAGATCACAACCTGGCCAACCCCAAACTCACTTACGGAATTACAAGGATTCATGGGGATACTAGTTTACGTCAGAATTTTCATCAAAAACCTCTCCGAAATTGCCGCACCTCTCAGAAGACTCACAAGGAAGGACTCTGAATGGGAGTGGGACCAAGAATGCAACGATGCCTTTCACAAGCTAAAGCAAATAGTCGGGGAAGATATCACCCTAAAAAAGCTAGATTACTCCAAGGACGCAGGATTAATTATTTTGGCCGTGGATTCTAGTTTTATTGCGGCCGGGGCAGTACTATCACAGGAAGAACTGGAAACAGGATTAGCACGACCAGTTCTCTACGAATCCATAGTTTTTTCACCCGTCGAATCATCGTATTCTCAGCCTAAACTTGAACTCTGCGGGGTATCCAGGATTCTGAAGAAATTACAAACTCTTCTATGGGGCCAACACTTCGAGCTTCAAGTAGACGCACAATCCTTAATTCAGATGATCAATTCTCCATCATTACCAAATGCACCAATGACCAGATGGGTGGCGTTCATTCAGCTTTTCTCATTTGACATGGTACATAAACCTGGAAAAACCTTCACATTACCAGATGCTTTATCCAGGCGACCCATCAGCGACAATGAGGAGGAATTCTACGAAGACGCAGCCGACTTTGACGAAGACGACCCTGTAATCAAAGCATGCTTTCAGTAAACGATAACCTCACAATCAACAAAGTTAATGGAATGGGAATCACCAGGGTTTTGGAAGGACCTTAAGGAATATCTTGGGACCCTGAAGAAGCCAGAAAGAATGGACCCAGAGGATTTTCAAAAGTTAAGAAGAAAATCAGCCAATTTCTTTATTCAAGAGGGTCGACTCATGCGACGACATACGCCCATGGCACAACTAGTCATCTCCAACATAACGTACCAAAGCAGACTATTAAGGAAGTTTCACAAGGATCTTGGCCACAGGGGACTTGAGGAAACATATCAGCGCTTGGTTTGTCGATTTTGGTGGCCCAGCCTGAAAAAGAAGGTGAAGTTATGGGTACAGAGTTGTGAACCTTGTCAAAAGAGGGATGCTCTAGTGCCCAGAGAAATTCGAAATCCAACTGGCGAAAGTAGTCTATTTGGACGGGTAGCGTTGGACGTGTGTCATATCAAGGCCGGACAATATAAATACCTGCTGGTGGCACGTGACAACTTATCTGGATGGGTAGAGGCAGCACCTTTGGTAAAATTATCTGCAGCTAATATCAGTAAATTTCTTTTGGAAGAGTGGGTCTACAGATATGGTTCAATTAGGACTGTAACTGCTGACAATGGACCAGAATTTAAGAGTGAATTTATCGAAGCTGTGGAAAAGATTGGTGCCACTCTGCGACCACCGACACCATACTATCCCAAGGCAAATGGAATGATTGAACGAGGTCACCGGCCAATCAAAGATACACTGATCAAGATGTGTGGAGAATCCGGCGGAAAATGGAGAGAATATTTACCATTAGTACTTTTTTCTGACAGAATTTCGACAAAAAGATCAACTGGATACTCACCGTATGAGATTGTCTTTGGGAAGAAAGCGGTTTTACCAGTGGATATTGAGATGGACACCTATCTTGGAATTGACTGGGCGGAAGTGAACACAACTGAAGAACTGCTTGAGGCTCGAACAAAACAACTGGAACGAAGGGACGAGATCTTAACACTGGCCCATGAAAAACTAATGAAAACTCGAGAATCGTCAGTCAGATACTGGGACCGGCGAATGGCAGCAAGACTCAGGAATCCTTTGGACCCCGGAGAACTGGTTCTGGCTTACAATAAAAGTCTGGAAGACCAGTGGGGGAAACTTTTTGCTCACCGCTGGAATGGACCTTTTCGCATCAAGAAACAACTTCCTAAAGGCTCTTATATTCTAGAAGAACTGGACGGAGTGGAATTGAAAAGGGCTTATGCTGCCTCACACATCAAACGGTTTTACCCACGAGGACGTGACTTTCATGATATTCAAGACGATGAGGACCCGGACCAGGAAGATGCTTCAGAAGACGACTCGGAAGAACACTCCTCAGTGGCATCAGAATAATCGTACCTCCTGGGCATGAGACTAAACTGTTCACAACACACATCAAATTACAAAAATTCAGCTCAAATTTCTTTCAAAAATCAGGTGGATGTTTAATTTTCTAAGTTGGAGGAGGACTCACATTCTTTTATACGTCACTCTTTACTAGCTCCCTCCTTCCATGAACCTCTTATTTATTTATCCCATAACTTCAATTCCACCACAGGACTTGCTTTCTCTTCATAACCAATAAACTAAAAAAAAAAAAAAAAAAAAAAAAAAAAAAAACTTTAACTTAAGAATTCTACTACTCATATCATCCTTCAAAATCTTATTCTTACTCTTACCCTTCCCTTTTACATTTTCTCCTTCTTAAGAATATCTTTTGAATGCTCACAATTCTTCCAACTTTTCTTTCCTGAAAAATTCTTTTTGGACAAACTTTTCTCTGTAGTCTTCCATTTTTTTACAGCTCACCTTAATCTCTCACTCATTTATGGGTTTGGCCACTCATCTCAGGTTGAGGACAACCTGTAAAGTTGGGGGAGGGGTTTGGGATAGTATTGAAAAAGAAAAAGAATCAAGAAGAAAGTAAACTAAAATGAACTAACAAGAGAATAGTTTTTTGGATTTTGTAGATTATAAAATTTTTTTGGGTGTTATAAAAATTATCTAACGATTTTTTTGGCTTTAGGAAAATTTTACCCCTTTACAGACAGTACTCAAACCAGGAAGAACTTAATCTAGGATCAAAAACAAAAACAATTAAAAGATCAAAACAATTAGTATATAGGCTGTGAAAAGAAATAAAATAAAAAAAAAAACACTCACCCAAGTGACGGAAGTGTCGCCTAAGCGACATGTAACTCCGGTTAAGAAACTTGAAGTGACTAACCCGGTGAGCTTGATCGCGAGGACACGAAGGACGCTCCGCGTTACAATAGGCTACAAATCCACTAGCGGCCGACTGATAGAAGGCCGTAAACTCTCGAGGGCAAAAGGCGTACCGATCAAACCTAGCCGGATCCGCTCGACGACTAAGGAGGGAGTCGATCTGATGATCCCTCAGGAGATGAAACTCGTCGACATCGTAGAACCCAGGAGGATCGGGCGAGGCGACACGGGGCTGACGCGCAAACGGATAGGATTGGTTACTGGAGGCGGTGTGCTGGCTGGAAGAAGACTCGAAAGAGTCTTCAGCTGAGACTGCAGACTCTTCTTGAGAGGCTGAGGTCGAAGTAGATGGTGAATAGAAGAAGAAACAACCTACCGACGATAAATGGTTCAACAACGATTCGGCGACCTCGAAAGGACGACGAGCCACCGGAGAACCCGAGGAACCTCGGCTGTTTGAAGCCGGACGACGCCACTCGGGCGTAACCTGCGGCTGAAACATCGGAGTCGGGTCCAGGAGCGGGGTTGGACAGTGTTGGTAGGGCGGCAAGGCGGTACCTCGATCTTGAGGATGGAGCCCCACCAATCCTGGAGGCACCCGATCAGATCTAGAGGCTCGGGTGGCCTTGGGAGAAACCGGCCGCGTGATCGTGCGCGGATCGGCCAGCGGAGATGGGGCAGACCCTTGAGAATCAATCTCGATGGGGAAGCCAGATGAATGGGCCTGGGACACAGAAACAAAAAAAAAAAACAAAGACAGAACCCGTTAGTTATACGTCTACAAACCCCACCAACAATACAAAAGCCACATACTCGGACCGAGGAAGGCGGCGCGATCGGCGACGCATTCAGAATCGGAGGCCGAGAAGACTCTCGAGAGTCCAATTGGATAGGCGAACCCAGCTCTTGACGCTTTAGAACCATCGTTGATACCAAGTTCATCAGGATACATACTGACAAACAAGGACAAAAGACTACCCGACTTACTCTATTCAAGGGACCGGACGGCTCAGAGAGACTCATCCGAGAACGGAGAGGGTAAGGGTTTGAGGCCCTAGGGCCCGGGGTATGCTTGTTGAAACGGGGCATGACTGAAAGGTTGGGAAAGATGGCTGGGGAGGTCGATAAGGTAGCTGATGGATGAGGATAGGAAAGAACTGGCGGTCGAGTCGGTCTTTTTATAGGCTAGATAGCGACAATCCTCCCAAATGACAACTCAACAGTATCGCCCCTTACACTAACTGGCCAGCTGACAAACGGATAAAAGCGCGGAAGTCGAACGTGTACCTCTCGCGAAGAGGGCTGGACGCGGTTCTGACCAATAACAAGCAAGGATCTGAGGATGACAGGTGTTTTCTTACCTCTGTCCACAACCTGACCAACGAGAGCGCAGGATCTAGCGCTTGGTGGAAGGCCATGGACCAGCAGACCTCGTACGATCGGAAGAAATGTCAAAGGCCCACACATTTTTTTGACCTGGCCAGCGCGAAAGGACTTTTTTGATTAGTGTACTGTAAAGTAATCACAGAGAAAAGAGAAAGATAATCACTTACCGACGTGCTTGAGGCACGGAAAATCCGATCGAAGGCGAGAAGAAATTGGAAGAACGGTGGCGGTGGGGAACAGAGGGAATGTAGACTGGCTGGTTTACAGGACCTACCTGCTCCCCAGTGCCCAGGATATCCTACTCCGGACCGGAACGGCGCACACGGAACGAGGCACCCGCGACTTGGCGCTATTGACTGTGGCGCAGCTATTTCTCAACCTCGCGCAACCCGAATCCAAACTTGAACCCCGAACGATCAGAAACCCCCTTGGGCCCCTCCCAAGGGGCTTTGCAGGTAAACCAGGCTACCCAGCGACTCTACGACGACGGCGCGGTCATCAAGACGTCCAATGCTGCGCAGCTGCGCACAGCGCGCAGCAAAATAAAAATTTGTATGTAAAAAAAAAAAAAAAATAAAATAAAATAAAAATAAATAAAAATGCCCCCCCACCTGTGCACTTTGGGCAGAAGGGGGGTACACAGGGACCCTGAGGCTAACATTCACAGGGGAAACCTGTTAAATCAGCTGTAAAAATTAAGTTTAAGTTTAAAAATCACAAATACGGCTACCCCAGCTTGGCTCCACTGCAAAGTTGGGGGAGGCTATCACATTTTTTTCCAGCTTTTTCCTCCAAATACCCACTACCCTTTTCACTTCATTTCATCTTTAAAAATTAACTCTTTCTCTATTTTCTTCCCATTTTTTCCTGGTAAATTGTCTGGGGACAGACAATAAGTTGGGGGAGGCTGTGGTAGTCAAAAATGTGAAAATTCAAAGTTTTTTTTCTTTCTTTTTCTTATATATATTTTCTTCATATTATCACCCAATCACTCTCAGAATACACACCATACGGCTCAAGAACTGGACTCTACGGACAAATTCACCCTTGGTCACCACGGAGGCGTCACTGGAACACACCTGGATCAACTCTTACCCAACACTGGACAACATATCACAAGGATTTCACCCATCATTACATATCACCAAACCCAATTACAACCCTCAAGCTACACAGACACCCTCAGTGCAGTACACACTCATTTACATATACACTCATTTACATACATCTACACTCTTTACATTTCACTTCTACATATTACATCATACCTGCAGCCTAAATTAGTGTATTTTCCATGCATGACAGCTGCAGCTTACACCACCACACTCACTTGTAAACACATCAGAACCTGACCAATCAGAATCACTCATTCAGCTGCTTGGATCACCACTTCAACTCTTGTACATGTCTGACCAATCACATTCACTCATTCAAATTTTGTATGTAGCTAAAAATACCTCATGTAATAGCCCAGGCCAGCCAAAATCACTCATTACTGGCTGCCCTGGAGCTAAATTCCCTCACTGTTGTATATATAAGGAGGCTCTCCTCCCAGTTGTTTAATCCTCAGTCAAGTAACACTCAAGGAATATTTGACCACCTTTACACAAACACTTTAAAAACGCCAACCAACCCACATCAACAACTCTTCATCACACAACTCAATCCTGAACTTTACCCTATCACTTGATTAAAACTTTCCAAGCTAAGCTTGGTGGGTCTTGTTATCTGATAGTATAGAAGGGCAGAGCTTGCACCTCCACCATCCCCTTCTCAATTCAGCAAAAAGGGTCTTACAACCACTTTTTGAGTCTTACACCGCCAAGATTTCCATTCGCTTGATGTCCCTTTTTGTTGAGTTGAGAGTGTTCAGAGCTGTACTTTTGCTGATTGCACAAACCGGGCAGTGGATAGATCCATGTGGCAGTGATTTTGGTAAACCTTCCCCAAGATTTTCTTTGATCAGTTTTCTTAGGACACGTAGCCCTGCATGACCAAAGACTCGATGCCAAAATAACAGCTGTTTCTCGTCTTTTGAGAGAGTCTCAGGTCTCCATTGGAAATCATCAATTTTTGCAATAGGTGCTTTGGAAAAATTTTCATTACTGAACTTTGTGGTCGCAGCATTCATCATAGGAGAAGCAGTCACATTTGATGTTAAAGGTGTTGGCATATCCGCCCAGGAGACATTAGAAGCATGAGGGGAGGAAGAGAAAACATGAGACGGAGAAGCAAGAGGAATTGGATGGGCAGGAGAGTGAGGATCTTGAGGAGTGGAAGAAAGGAAAGCTGAAAAATTTTCACACAAAGCCTGTGCATGGCTCCGTAAGAAAACATAAGGCAGGCACCACCGGTTTTTTGACTTGTCAAGTGTACAGCTAAAAGCATGATTGCCTGCACTGTTGAAAATCTCAAACGCATCCCTGTCATTGTCATACAGAACAGAAGCGTTAGATTTCCTGAGCGCCGCCATAGAAATTAAATTCGATCTGGCTTGCTCACAGAAAAGCACCCCTTTTATGATAATGATAGACCCATTATTCACTTGGAATTTCAAGTTCCCGACTCCGGTAATAAAGGATTGGTTGGCGGCGGTAGCTACCGAGAGGGGCAACGGTTTAGAGAGAGTACGGAAATTGTGAAGGAGGGAACGCGAGCCAGAAAAATGATGGGAAGCCCCAGTATCAAAAATGACAATAGGACTTACGATATCTTCCCCCAACGACATCACACGGAAATCCAGGTCATCCAGATCGTCTGGGACCTCGCCAATCTCCATCACTTGCGCTGATGCCCCCCCTTTTTGATGTTGTTGCTGTTGCGAAGTTGCCGGAGTTTGGCGGCTTTGTGACTGTTGGTACCTTGGTCGGTAGAAATCGGCCATCCTCTTTGCTTGCGTTTGGAACTGGGACATGGGGGGGGCTTGCGAGCGTCCTGACAATGAGCTGTTTCCTTGTTGCGTGTACAGAGAGCCGACGAAAGTTGCCAGTTGTCGTTGAGAGTTGCCCTGATGTTGAGGTCCACCGGGCCCGCGAGTAGCTCTAGTCGCTTGAGCTCTGCCCGAACGTTGTGGGCAGTCTTGGAGGTAATGGTCCGAAGCCTTGCACTTCCAGCACCTGCCTGCTGTCGTAGCAAAAAACTCTAGAGCATCTGACCAGTCGTCTTCCGGGACTTCCGCTAGAAAGGCATCGAAATCAAAATCTTCGTGTCCTGACGACGCATGCATCACCGACAGGGGCTTGATAAACGCACGCCACCCCCCCTGGCGCACGCCAAACCGCACGCCACCCCCCCTGGCGCACGCCAAACCGCACGCCAGGTGGGGATTGGCGTGCACGCCTGCACGCCAAAGAAAATTGGCGTGCGGGCCCGCACGCCAATCTACAGAGTGTAGACCGGCGTGCAGGCCTGCACGCCAAGGATTCGCCGCCGTCCCATAGGACCCAGGCATGGGTCCTATGGGACGGCCCCTTTTTTTCATTTGATTTGATTTCATTTTTTTTTTCTTTTCAAATCCCCTCGGCCTAAAGAGGCCGAGGTCACACCGGCTCGTCCGAAGGAAACCCTTCCGACGAGCATGTACACCGGCTCGTCGGAAGGGAATACTTCCGACGAGCTAGTTTCTTTACCAGCTCGTCGGAAGGATTCCCTTCCGATGCACCGTGGTATATGTACCAGCTCGCCAGGAGG